GCCCGGCCGCCTTTGTCTCCCTAGTGGCGATATTTTTACTCACCGCACCAGGTACTCATTTGAGGCTGAGTCGATCTAGGGGAGGCCCAGGACCGGTTTAGCTAATCGTCACTGGTGTTGGCCGTCAGCAGGAATCGGAGCAGGATACGAACCAGGGTCGTAGCGTAGCGCGCTAACCGCTACACTAACGCAGTTGGCACACACCGGCACACACCGACACACACACAGTCACGGCGGACACACACCCCACAGCTAGTGCAGAGATCGCTCAAGCAGTGGGATTCCAACAACGGGGCCTTTGACTTGTAAGAGGCAGCGGGTAATGTGCAGAATTTAAAAAAATAGCCAGATAGCTTTGAACGAGCAGCCCGAGCAATTGAGCTCTCTCCGAGGCAAACACACATCTGGATCGTCCAGCTGATGTTTTTTAATGGTTTTCTTTTTAAATAGATCATTCCCTTTGTATTCCCCGCGCCCCACCGCAATGTATGCCAACTGCGCTATCGGCATCACGTCGAGAGACAATGAATCCAGTCCGTCCCCTCTGTACGAGAGCGGCTGTACGAGAGATTGTTCGCGGGAATTCTCCCACGAAATCCTTCCAGTGATCTTTTTTTATCCGAGATCGCAGCAGCAGCAGCAGGGGGGGGGGGGGGTGTCACTTTTCCACTCGCTCTCCGACGCGATTGATGCATGGCCGGGGAACAGCCACTTGACAATCTCGGCGTTGACTTGTTTTTTTATTTCGCCCAACTATGCGAGAAACCAAACTAGCGAATTGCTTCTCTTTCCGCAGTTCAATCGTCAGCGCATTGAGGATGACCCTTGCAAGTCGCTGCATTCTGCTCCGCGCGGAGTTTCGGACAAAAAATAAACCCCCCCTGAACCCATGGAATATCATTTAAGGGTAAAAGAACGAGGAGCACTGAGGCTGATTGCCCTGCAGGGCCGGGCCGGCGAATATGGATTCATCATTACCGTTAATGGTTAGCATGCTCAATGGCGACCCTCATCCAATCCTATTCAGTGGAGCCTGCCTGCCCACCTACGCGCCTGTTCTTCTTGTTCCGTCAGATTAATGTGCACACCTGCCACTGAGCATATAAATAACCGTATAGGATTATACAGCCACGTAATGAGATAATGGATGAAACCTTGCCTCTGCGCATGGTCCTGCATGCTGATTCACAGTGGACATCGCAGCACGCTACAAACATGTGCACACCGAGTGTCAGCATGACGCACGATGCTAATTGATGTGTACTTTTAATATGCGGCGTTATGCTAACCTAGTTGCAAAGTGCTCCCAATCATGTGTAATCCGCGTGAATGTGCGTTGCTCTGTCGCCCACGTGTGTACAGTTTACATACAGCAGAGCGAGATTATCAGACACAGTGCCAGTTTAACACGGAGGCTCTCGTGACCAATATCATCCGTAATAGAGGTTTTTGGGTTAAATCGCGTAAATATATAAATGTGTCGTTAAAACCCGCCACAACCAGGCCACAACCAACTATTAAGTAAGTTGTAACTACTGGCGAAACGTCGTACTCGGTTTGTAAATGTTGTGGCTTGGCTCTCCAACACACCGGTGTGCTGTACTAGTGACGAATTGGCCACGTTCTGTTTACGTGACAACCCTTACTAGTTGGCTGTGTCGGGTGGTGGCGGGTTGCAACGAGACATTTATATTTATGGGATCTAACCCTAAAAAAAACAACACCTCTATTATGGATGCAGTCTGTTGTTCCAAGACATCGATTGCGCGTTTCGTCTCGGACAGACGAACGTTGTAATTGTATTACCCATACGGCAGCAAGGGTCCGATTGAGAGCTCCGTGGTGATTAAAAGCCCTGAAAGGCACAAAGCAAGAACTGAACCACCGGTGGAGGTGGCAGGCAGTGGAGTGGGGGCGAGTTAAGTGTGCCATGTGAATCTCTCACTCACAGCATGTCTCCTGAGATAGCGCTGACACCTGACCGCGCACGCCAAAGCACGAGGGATTTGGAGAGATTTGGATCCATTAATTTTGCACTTGACAGGCTAGAATGAGACACCATCCAGGCCCATAGTGTATTTACACGCCACTCGGAATCCAGAAATAGTGTTCACGATGCACTCTGCTACTTGAGTCCATCCTGAGATATTTAAATGAGCCTACATCTTCATAAAACAGAATGACAGAACTAGATGTCTGCTGCTCTTTATTCACATATATGTGGGGACCCTTAAGGAAACTTGGTGGAAAATTATTTGGCAAAGTCTTTTGAGTATCAGTAATATATTTCATTTTCCCCACGCAGTAATACTTGTTTTCACCTATCACGTTATTTTCATAAATGTAACGTCGTTTTTTTTAACGTTTAAAACGGTTGCTAAAATTAGTTGTTTGGAATCTGTGTTTCTCTCCTTGTGTTGTCCATAGACTATTAACACATATTGACTAAAATATCTAGCACACTTGTTAAAAATATATAACCTGCTTGCTTTTGTTGATACATATCCCCTAAGCCTCAGCAGAGAGTAGGATTAGCTGCTAGAAAAAAAACCATGGCGATTTGTTAAATTCCTGTTAATTGAAATCATCGCCCCTTGGGCATCACACTACCATAGGTATCAAAACAAACTAATCACCAAAGGCCTATTATCATGTCCCATTGTCATTCGAATACACCGCACATTAATTAGTTATCAAACGTGTCTATCCACACACAGTATCTATCAGCCTAACAATGAATGCTGATGCACAATCAGAGTCAATTAAATGGTCAGAGCTCTTGCATTCCAGGGGAATGCCTCTGCTGCTATGGCAGAAATACGCCCGAGTTGCCACAACCAGTCACTTGCCTGGGACACTCCAAGACGTGTCCCTGTGTCTCAGTCAATTAACCTTCTTACCAGCTCCTTTGCAGGAAGGAAGGTGGTAGCTGCCCTGCAACAGAACTAAGCAAGTGTTTAGCTTCATCACTTTCTTCAGTCTCTCTTTCTCAACCAGAGCACACCAAATCAAGTGGAAAAACCAATTTAGGACGAGTCTTTTTTCGTCCAATCTTCTGTGATCAAGCTCAGACTTTTAACTTACTGCCTATGAGAGCCCTTTCACACCTGGGTGACCAGGTTTATTTATTCACCCCAAGAGGTCATGGTTAGTATATATATCTCACGTTTAGTTTTCGTACCAACAGAACTGGAGTTAACGCCGTGACATAAATTCGTCTCTAAAATGTATCTTCAAAATAGACATTTTTTATATCTTGGTTAGAACTTAAATTAGATAATGTTATGGTCAAAAAGGCAGAGGAGCAAGCAAATTACAGTCAAACTTTAACATCTTAATTCTTTGACACATCTAACCAACAGCGCGACGCTAAGTTAAAGTACCGCATGGGTGCAGCCCTTGCAATTTCATGCTCATGCTGCCAGAAGAGCCTCCACTACAGGCCGCTTGAGAAAGCCCCGAGAGAGGGTTGGCAGTTGGGCCACTCATCACCACGCTGTTCAGACGTGTTGGAAGAGGTTGCAAGTGCCCACACTTTACCCCACCACATGTGACCTACCGATTGCCTAACTGTGGTATATTCCCATTTATACCGCGGAGTGAACAGAGGCGAGGTGGGATTGGCGAAACTGTAGGCAATTTTAACTGCCCAGTGGCCTCTGTTTTGTTTGTCCATTGTGCCAACCATTCATTGCGTATTGCAACAGGACAATTGATTCTAAAATGACACTCTCCATTTTATACATCAAGTATTCATATTTCTGAACTTAGATTTGGCTGTAATAATTCATATTTCGAGTAATAATGTCTTTGTGACCACCACATATAACACTCAAAGCACTCTGAGGAGTGATTCGTCGACCTCAGCACTCTACTTACCACATATTTGGGTACTAACGCTGTCAGACGGCAATTACATTTGAATAGTTTGATTGAAAAAAAGACATGAACTCCTTGTACTGTTCAGTCTTGTTGTCCTTACCCCTCAATTACGATTAGCACGGTTGGCTACGTACACTGCGGAAGAAGCTCAACGTGCCTACATACGTCAAACAATTTGAAAGCTTTAGCGTGAGCAGTGGTAATCTAAACGTTGTGTGCGAAGCTCCGTAAGCCTCTTTTTACGTTATCTTCTAGATGTTTTCACCGCCTCCCCCCCAAGTTTGCCCCTTTAACACCTAGATGCCAAAGCTTTCCTCTTAAAATTAACAATTCAGTGCGAATTTAGAAAGTTGCAAATATAGCAACCCATTATAAAAATAAAACAACCAATTGTGCAACTGGGCCGCTGTTGTTCCCTTGCTTGAAATGCACATGGAAATTTGCTGACTCATAAAAAAATTATATTTTAAAATACCATTTACAGCATTTGCTTAATCAAGGTCTACAAACACTGCATCAGTTGTGAGGTTTCTACGACGAGTTGGGGCAATAGAGCCAGTCCAGGTAGCCCTTGCTCACCGACGTTCGCCACTGCTGAGAATGGAACTCAAGTTGCTAGGTTCACGGGCAGAAGTGTGCTATCCACTGCGTCACCACTCCTCCCTCGGTGCAATACATTGTATTGTGCAATGCATTGTATTGTATTGCACTCTAAAATGGTTTAAGGTACGTAGACATCCTGCGTGAATCAATGAAACAAATAAGAAAACGATACAAATCTGTTTACAATTACGTACCTAATATTGTTTGAATAACTTTGCTTTATACTTAGCATAATCTGAATTCATTATCTGTCACCAGCTTACAGTGCAGTGTGCTAACCACTGCACCATCAATTCACTCCTGCCACCTTATACTGTGTGACATGAACTCATCTGAAAACACAAGGTACAGACAATTATAATGTGAGACTTGATATACCGTGTGAGCCTTTGATAAACATCAACGGTTAGAACCAGATGGGAGCACATCAAACTTATGCTGCAGGAGGAAGGGATCATTTTTAAGTTATCTCAACGTTTTATGGTGGGTGAAAACCACACTCAGAAGATTCCTACCTTCAACCACCTGTAAGTCTTTACGGGCAACCCTGAACCGCATTCACCGCACACGCCATAGCAGCAGGTGCAGAGACTTGATGCACAAACGGTAAACGAACTCTCCAGCGTGAAACTTGTGGTCACTCAGAACAGAAGCTACGGAACACGTCACGCATCAGCACCCGATTCACAAAATACGAAGGAGGGCATCGCAGCGACAGACTCGACAAATTACATGGCCCAACCACCTCATTGTTAAACTATAGTTTTTCATTTAAAGCTTTCGTGACTGCAGGGATTCATATTCTTTGTTCTTTCGGTAAAGTCACGTAGAAGGGAAACAATAACATAATAAAAATATAAAAAATAGATTCTCACGACGTTTCGACTGCAACACGAGCAATCATCATCAGGTGTGAAAATCACAGCAAGAAAGCCACTTTTTTCAAATTTTCTTGCTGTGGTTTTCACACCTGATGATGATTGCTTCTTGTGTTGCAGTCGAAACGTCGTGAGAATTGTATTGTTTTATATTTTTATTATTTTATTGTTTCCCTTCTACGTGACTTTACCGAAAGAACCAAGAATATAAAAACTATAGTTGTTTCTTCACATCAACATGAACCAAGCGAAGACATTTAAAACATTTGAGGCTCAAGAATGAGGGAATAGCGCAATCTACGCTTGTGGATGAACTTTGCTGCATCTGAAAACCTCCACCTCATGGCTGTTGGTGTGCTTTTGTCAGACCTGCCGCATGCCTGAGTAACTTCAGCTGTTAACATTATGCAATCATATCAGAGCTATCATTCCCTGCTGCTGACTGTAACTTTTCTCATGATTTCCATATGGAGGAATATAAAGAGCCATGCTAAATATATGAAGAGCGGACAACTCAAGTATTGTAATGGGCCTGTATGAGATTGAAGGCTGAACACGCTATACAATGTGAAAATTGGACAGCGAGAAAAAAGGTAGATACCATTATATAAAACAAAACTTGTGAAAATGTAATCTTCTTACAACGTCACATTTTAAGAAGGTCCAATCAAAATGTATGGGGCAAGAAAAAGAAGATTAAAAGTGGCTGGAACATTTCAATACTTTTTTTTGCACAAAACAGGCTGCCTTGGTTTAAAAAAATAGCATTGTCCAAATGGCCCAAAAAAAGACAATTATTGCAAGTGTCACGTGGATTTTACTGTGCCGTGGCTGACTGGCTTACCTGCCTATGGAGCAACCACTTCGTAGATCAGCTGACCGTTATGTGAAAATCAGTAAAATTGGCAGCATCAGCCCAACAAGGGACGCCCATAATTATCTGCACGCACTCTCAATTGCATTGCCTGGGACGGTCACGTTATAATTGGCTAATTTTGTACTGGCATTCTTGAGAGTTTGCACATCTCGTCTTGGGACGAGATGTGCAAACTACAGCGGTATGACTTTTTTATTTTATGGCTGTGTTCAAGTCACGGCCGATATGTTCTCTCCAGTTTAAGAGCTTGCTGGATGTATTCAGTGAAACAGACGCATTGGCATTAACGTTATTTTCATATTTCTAAAATCGCAGTTTCTTAATCGTTCATGTGATTTCGAGTGTAAATTGGTTATTTTATGGTACGTGCGTGATTATGGTTTTTTTTTCAAATTCACACTGTGAATGAACAGCGTGAGCAGTGCAAATATGGGAGAGAGATTAATGGAACATGTTGTGCAAGACTGGTTAAATGATACCCCAGCACAATAAGGATGTCATCAGAACCAAGAGAAGCATGAACACTTGGAGACATGACACATTTAAATTTAATTCCTGATGACAGCTATTGTTTGATTTTTTTAAAATTAATATTTTTGTGTGTATGTTTAACTTATTTAGCACCGTACATAGCCAACCGTGCTAATTGGAGGGGAAGAACAACATTTGTTTTTAATAAGCACAACGATTCTGAGGTTCAGTAGATTTAAGAGGGATCTTAAATTTTACCAAATGGGAAAATGCCATGTTGACCAAATTAATAAACCAAACTGCGATTTCAGAAATGTACCAATTAGATTCGCATTGCTTAACTCAAACTGCCGTTTTACATAATGTATGTAAATCAACCCTTTTCCCTCATTCATTGGAATGTGATGTAAAAAGTATGCCAAACTAACACGTATTAAATCAACTCAGTACAGTAACACCTATCAGTGCTTTCTCAACATATGTATTTATGAGACTGAGAAATATATGCCATGTGTAAGTAATTTGAATAATGTTATTCTCTAAAGTCATATATACACAGTAGTCCCTCGGGTAACGTTTTTAATCCGTTCAACGACAACTATTGTTAACCGAAATAACTGTTAACTGAATATAGGAATTACATGTTAAAATAATTAATAACAAAGGCAGCCGAGGTCTCAACGTCTGATTAATGGTCATTGCTGATTGGCTGAGGGCATGGCTCAGCCTTCCGCTTAACGAGCGCTCGGATTGGCTGAAATTGGCGCCCGCGTGCATAAAGCGAACACGTGACCGTCGCATCAACATGTTAACGCTTCTCGAAACCCATGGGGGTCTTATTGGAGGCGAACCGTTCACAGAAAAGCCGTTAACCGATGTCACTGTTAACCGAGGGACTTAATATAATTGTACATCATGTTTACAAGTGCATTTGTCATTTGTGCAGTAAATTCCACCAAAAGTTCAACCACCCCCCCCCCCTGCTCTACATGGGTTCTTCCAGGTTATCTGGTTTCCTCCTGTAGCTCACGACATGCGATTTTACTGGCGCTGGCCAAACATGCAAATGCAGGAACCTCATGAAAAAGTCTTCAAATTCAGCAGAGTTTTCAAGGATTATTTATTTATCCTTGAAAACTCTGAAGTCATTATTATTATTGTTATGACTTACCGATTCAGGGGGGTTCATTCAGCAGTGGAGTACAAATGTACATGTAACATAAATACACAACACGTACACCATAGTTTACATTTCAAAGTTAAAATCTGATATTTTAAAAAATGTAAGTATGTTTCTGCATCTAAACTTCAGAAAGTACAATATGTTTTCAATGCAACGGGCACTTCCACGGGTTACTATTTACCATTGTTTTTGGAATTAACATTTCAAACGCAGGCTACAATTACTTCAATTGGCTGCATGTGCGTCATTTTCCTTTGTCCATCAGACAAAATGCTGGCTATTGTATCCTCCCAGTGTAGACACCAGATGTGTGAGGCATGTCAAAACGCACGGTGCATGCTTGACTGGCCGCTGTTCAGGTTAAGGAATTCTATTACGGTACAATGTCGCATATCAGAACCTAACATATCTGCCCAGACCAATTAACCACCCACAGCCAGCGCAGTGTTTGTAACTGTCATCTTCTATAGATGGTCACAAATTGGACCTTTTCGCACCCAGCTCCTATGTCACTGCAATTTATATAATTCAGCATGAAGCTGATTAATAAACCAGCACTCACGGAATCCCTCCACAGTCACTCGCTCACCAGCGATCAGTTAACCCGTCCATTGCTACAACCACGGTTATTTATATTCTTACTACAACGCTTGTATACCCAGGAAAAGCCTTACCGAGTTTCATGACTCTTTATCGGGAGGACCCTTCCGAGTGTTTTGTAGTAGAGGGATGATGATTGCAGTGTAGATTCCGATGGGGTAATTTGCGGGGAAATTTTTAAAAAAGAAATGGCCTACATTTTGGACCACGACGCCTGCACACAACGGCCACCCTCTCCTCTGGTGACTGATGTCACGGGGATCTTCTCGAGTCCACTTGGAAGCAGACGACGCGCAGCATCGTTACGTGGCAAACGCCGGACTCGTTCCAGCTCGGCCGCGTCACTGCTCGTTCACGGACAGCCAGAGGGCAGAATGGGGGCATCGGGCCACCAAATGCTCAATGTGAATATGCCATGTGATTGAGGGACCACTGTTGTGCGGTGTTATCTTTTGTTTTGTTCTTGACGTTTTTGCTGCCTTGCCCAAAGTTGATCAATCAGACTTATATATGACTAGCCTTTTGCCCGTCCAAGGACGGGTGTATTGCAGTAAATCTGAAACTTGCAAGCGAAAAGCAGACCGCGACGTGATATTCATTGCATTAATTCGTGTGCAATTTGTTAAAGGTTATAATCCCTTGTTCATCATGACGTCCTTTTTACTTTTATGTCTCAATAGCGTTACGGAGATCGCGTGATGTCAGGGTTCTGCTTTTGTACTGAGAGTTGTAAGTTGACGCCGAGGATGGGGGAGGAGGCGCCTTGCCCCCCCCCACCCCATGTGAAGTGACGTCACCCGCTCATGATTATTAATGAGGGGGGATGGTCGACGTGGAGTGACGTCACGCGCGGGACACAGATATTCTTGGCTAATTATAGTAGTAAATGTTATTTGTTATTTCATTTCGTAACTTGCTTCCCCTTTTCTCTATTTTGCACCCCTATAGTGTTTTTGTATTGTTTGCTGCTGTAACTTGCTAACCCGCCCATACCGGGCATCTGTGAAAAATAGCTTCATAGCTCATCGGATTGGTCCACTCGAAATAAAGATTCTGATTCTGACTCAGTGTCCACCCAGCTGGAAGGGGTGACAATGAGTGACGTTGATCACCTCATCAATGGCATTGGTGATGATGACATCATAAATATTATTAAATTATGTGCTTACAAAAAAGATTGAGCCTCACTGGACTTGGATTCCAGAAATTGCTGGTTTGATTCTATCTCCCAGCGCGGTAGTTGAAACAATTAGCTGGTTTCTTAAATATGATGGGCCCTGTCGACCACTGCAGTTAAGTGTGGCCCATCTCCGGCGCTACAAATACCCCTACCTCTGTCCACCCAGCGAAACAACTGGGTGCACAGCAGTTAGTCCATTGGTAGGTTGCACGTGGTAGGGTAAAGCGTGGCTACATAGCCTAGGGTAAAGTGTGGGTCTGTATATGGCCTTTGTATACAGCATAGCCAGATGTATGGATCGTGGTCTAATGCATGGTTTCATAATACTGTATTGTATTGAATAGTATGGAAAGTTACACCGACAGGATTGAGTGTTTCTATAAACCATGATGATTAATAACCACAGC